TGATTGTGGAAGAGCAGCTGGCTGCTGCTATGGATACCACAACCGCATCTGCCCATCCTTGCTTGAACTCTGCGGGAAGGGACGGACGCCGTTGCGCGCACCGCGCGCGTCCTTTGTGTTTCTCAGCTTTCCAGCCCCAAAGACGGGTGTTTCTGGAGAATCGAATCGGGTTCTTGGGGTTTCTTTGATAGGAAGACGGGGGAATGCCTAGGAATTGTTGGCAAAGGAACCGACAACTCGGGGCTGAGACTAGGCCCCTTCCCCAAAGCCTGCCATCTGTCTCCCTGCCTCGTCACCCCCCTCGACCAGCTTTGTTATGAGGGCTCACTCTGGCTCAATGCAACTGTGCAGAACCAGAAGTGATGATGGTCCGATATGACAGAAACGGAGAGAACGAGCACCATGCACAGCAGAACGGCCGACGGAAAACGAGGTTCAAAAAACGGGCCATGCGAACATGGGGCCCGGACGTCGAGATGAAGTCTAATCTTAGGGGGCCAGCCCCGATATGGCAGATTGGTGATTGGTCGGCAGCTGGGCCAAAAGCCCCTGGTTGGCCCTTTTTTTCTTTTCTTTCCCGCGGGCCAAGAGAGAAGGGGGACAGCAAATAATTGGACCAGGGGGGGCGTGCGGCTTTCGAAGACGACCTTCGAAGGATGGGGTTACACCGAGATGCAAGTGCCGTCCGTGGCGGCATGTCCGTATTGGTTGGAGAAGACTCGTGTTGTGCTGCCGTGGAGAGACGGATGCAATGCGAGTGCAAATATCTCTCTACAGAGGCAGAGCTCGTGGAGCAACACAAATCGTTCAACGTCAACCGTCAACGTCCATCAGGTATTCCTCCTGCATGGCAGAATGCGATGGATGCATGCATGCACATCTGATCTCAGACGACGCGGCCGTCGCCTGTCGTCTGGTGTTTTACCTGTAGCTTTGACCCTGTCGAAGAAGGTCGCGCACGGCTGTCGGGGATGGCAATAATTGGGATTACGGCCTACGTCTGTCTGATCCCAATGTTGCTACATCAGCTCGTGTGCGTTTTTCGGGCAAATATGAAATAAACACAACGCGTTGCTTTTTGACTGGTCCGGTCCGGCCGCAAAATGTCGTTGTTGGGCCTCGGGCAGCTTGCTGGATGGTGTTGTGACTCGTGTCGTGTCCAGCGTCGTGTTTCTCGTGTTGTCCCCAAGGCTCGCTGCGCCCCGGTTATTCTGGCCCTGCTGATTCGCCACTCGCATTCTTCATTATCATGGGTATTGGTTGTTCGATAGACTGCTAAGGCGGGTAGTTTGGCGTCGTGGAATTTCTCTCCTCCAAGAATTCTAGACATTTTCTTCAATGACAAGAATCCGATCCGGGCTGTGGCACTAATGGCTACAGGCAAGCATGCAACGAAGCCGTCTGAACCGCAGTCGAAATTCTCTACCCCAAGATTCTAGACTCCGGTACCAGTCATACGTGAACGCAGGCTAGATTTCAGAGACGACAGCAAACCCAAGACGCTGCTTGTTCGTCTGTCGTGTTGGTCCCTCTCTGCCGCCCCGTTGCTGACGGTCTAGGTGGCGCACTTGCCCTAGCCGCTGCTATTCTTGCTCCTCCGCATATCCAGGGTATCCGCTTCATGCAAGTCTTCGTTTTCTGCGTGGACTAACTCATGAAGAGGTGACATTGGGGATGTTGTCTCACAGAAACAACCACTCACTTAGTCTGTCCAGCCACCACGCCTGCTCCCCCCCCCCTCGTTTGTCTGTCCAAGGTCGCAAATACGAGGTGCGGTACTGCATTGTGGTTGCCGGGGCGGCTGGCGTTGCATCGCGGAGGCAGCCTCCGGCGATGCGCCACTCCCCGCTGCAACTGACACCGAGGGCCCGCCGAGACCGGGAATCTGAGTGATGCAGTCGGATCGAGACTGGCGATTCACTGTCTACCCCCACGACTCGTTCGAAGGCTGCGGTTCAAGATGGCACGCCGTCTCCAATTGCGGCTCTCCTTAGAAATACGGATATCTGCAGATTTCTTAAACACCCATGGCCTGTCCTTCTACGGGTCTGGATGCGCGACAGAGGGATCGACGTGGAGACGACCTATCAAATGGCATCCTCGAAGGTATCACGGCTCGCTGCTTTAGGTTGTGAATTTAGGTCCGAAGGCAAGACAGGCACATCCGATTCGTCGGGTATCATTCATGACTAAACCAAGCCACAACGCTCAAATTGGCCTGGAGGCCCCTCTCCTCCTGCATCGTTCATTATCATTAGACACATTAACCACAGCCGGGGATCTTCATCTTAAGGGCCGGTAAACGGGCCGCCACCGGAACCGGAGCCAGCTACATCTCGGGCCTATCGCTGGCTCAGCTGCCTCTTCATCTCCCCATTCTCCCTCTTCAAGACCTCCAGCTGCGCTTCCAAGCCCTCCATCCTCTCCGCCGCGCCCATGCTCATCTCCTCGACGATCTTGACGAACCTGAACAACCGAAAGACAATGACGAGCGAAGCAATCTCCTCAACGATGCCATGCGACAACACGTCAATCACAAAGCTTGCTATGATGACGACCCCGTCGAGCAGATGAAACCAATCCTTGAAATATCTGGGGTGGCCGTTAGTTATGCCGCAACGTCAAGCGCCTTGGAAAAACTCACCGGAGACCAAAAGCGAACACGCATAGCATCAGCTCGATCATGAACATGCAGCTGAACACAAGCCCAGCGATCGTCAGCCCTTCGCGCGTGTCTCTGACCCACGGCTCGTCCTCGCGCTTCATGTCGCAGGCGACGAGCTCGATGAAGATGTTGGCCAACAGCGCTGCCACGTCCAGCGACACCAGCGCGAGCACGGCGTAGTGCTTCGTGCGAGACGAGAGGATATCCTTGAGGCTGGTACGGGACTCCGTGAGATGCTGCCTGAGGGGAGCCGGCCGGTTGGTCTCGCGAAACCCGCTGAAGCTCCAGAGCAGAGGCCGGATTGCCTCCTCCTCGTCGGTCGCCATCGCTGCAGTTTCAGGCGTCGCCTTCTCCGACCATTCGGAACGGCGAGAAAATGGCGAGATTTGATTTCCGTAGTGATATGTTTCCTGTGTTTCTCTCGGGGACGCGGTCGCAGCCTTATCTGGACGGAGACCCTGTAGAGTAGGAAGCTCACGCGCGCGGCGCAAGAAAATGAGAAGGCTGAGAAGGAAGCCCAAATGTGGTGGTGCTGGGCCGGGACCGCCGATGCGGTTGCTGACGCAGTGTGTCTTCGGCGACGTCACACGTGGGCGACGACGACGGGACAGGCGAACCACGGGGTCCTGAAGGGCTGACTAAGTGCAGCACCAACCTCCTTGGCAGGTAAGTTTGCGAACTTCAGACCGGCTATCCGGCCACGAGGACGAGGCTCCGGGGGATGGATGGGGTGGCTTCGGTTATCGTCGTGCCGATGAGCTCCGATGTTTTGTCTGTAATTTGTCGTCGCAGTTGCCGTTTGTCGTTCGCTTCGTCCTCCCGAACCGCCGTCGCTGTGGAGCGCTCTCGGGGCTCCCCCGTAGCGGAGGACGGGCGACTCGGGGCGACTGGGGGATCAAAGGTTGGGGGGGCGATGCAAGATGCGATCTTATTTTGAGTGCCCAGAGGCCAGGCAATGGCTCGGCGCTCTTTGGTCGATCGTACACATGCGCTCCCCCGCTATGACAGCACCTGTGGGAATTTGCAATGTAACGTGGTCAGGGTTGGAGCATGACGTAAGTTTGAGCATTGAATTCTAGAAGGTTGACATTGAAGATGCCGAGCCAATTTGATATACGTTCAATTCTCTATAGCATGGGAGAGAGAAATTCAGCGAAGGTCAACCCTAGGTCGTTACCACCGAGCCAGAAAGCATGGATGTCGGAGAGCGAGACGTGGATGGCAATGCAACGGGAATGAGAAAGACAAAGGCCCAAAGGCCACTGATTTGTCGTCAAACCAGAACATTGAAAGGGGGCCTCGGTGCCTGATTTGCTCAAATGAAGCTGCCTTATACACAAATCATGGCAAAGAGGTCCGTCGGCTTCGATGACAACAAAGAGCAGAGCTCTGAATATGAACCTGGTCCAAGGGAGACAGGAACTTTTGTGGCATCTGCCTGGCAAGGGGCGCGACCGTCTTACCAAGCAAAATGCTCGCATACCGCCAGGGTGAAGGCCTTTCTGAGAGCATATCCTGGGGTTTGTTGCCATGTTTCTGAAACAAGTTAGGTAGAGGTCTTGCTGAGATAGGTGGGCAACAGTGAAAGGTCCTGAAGGTGGTTGACTTCAGTATGGAGCTCAAAGTAGACAGCAACAGCAGGTGCACGCCACTGCAGCTGTAGCTGTATCTTACCCTGTGAGCTCCACGACCCCGCTGGACAAGGTGTTTGAGCAAGGAGCTGGCAACCATGGGGAACCGACCTGTACGCATAATGGTGCTGCCAGTTGAACGTCATCTAGAAACCGCATATTCAACTTGGAGATATCTTCTGCTTGAACCCAATATATCTTCAACGTCCCCCCTTCCATTCCAGCTTCCCAAGCTCAGACAGCTCCAAACCCACATTTGTGCAAGATCGAGATCTGGAAGCTCTTATCGGTCTTATCGGGGCGCCACCGGCTAAACCGTGGACCAATCTCCCTGGCCATTTTTGGACTCGAACCTTGGATACCTTTCGACGGACGTCTGCCTCACCTCGCCTCGCCTCGTCCGCCTCGCCATCGGCTTCAATCCGTTCCCTACCTTGCACAAGCAGCTGCTCATCCATCCAACGCAGGGCAAGAGTTTGCTCCTGCAGTTGCCAGAGTCGTGAGTACCTTCCCTCGGCCGCCGCATAATCGTAGCAGGAGCTAGTCCTACTAGGAAACCCCTCCCAAGGCTGCCGGTCGCCTTACTGGCGCGTCTCTGCCTTGGCGCACGATTCAGCCATCTCTGAAGCTTCCCCAAACATCATCACTGACATTCCTCTTCCAGACGCTTTTGCATCGTTTTCAAATCACCAGAGACCGCAGCCATGGCGGACGTCAAGCCCGAGGACAAGCCTGTGGATGATCACAGCGCCGAGAACAACAGCGTCGCCGACGATGAGAACAACCACGATGAGGTGCGCAAAGACAATAAGCCTTCTACGGCCCTTAGGCTTCGCGTAGTAAGAGGAGGTTAGACTGACCAAGATGATGAACGTAGGAGGAGGAAATCTCGGCAATGAAGCGACGTGTCGCCGAGATGGAAGAGGAGGCGGCCAAGCTGCGCGAGATGCAAGCGAGCCTGAACCAGCAGGCCCAAGACCTCAACACCGACGACAAGCAAGACGTCGACAGCCGCAGCATCTTCGTCGGCAACGTTGACTACTCCGCCTCCCCCGAGGAGATTCAGGCGCACTTCCAGAGCTGCGGCTCCATCAACCGCGTTACCATCCTGCTGGACAAGTTCACCGGACAACCCAAGGGGTACGTGTTTTGCATTTCTTGACGCCCTGCAGGGCCAGCCGCGGTTGGAAGCAGCAATGTGCTAACATGCTCTCGCACAGGTACGCCTACGTCGAGTTTACCGAGCCCAGCCTTGTCGCCCAGGCCCTCGTTCTGAACGAGAGCATCTTCAAGGGTCGCAACATCAAGGTCGTTCCCAAGCGGACCAACGTCCCTGGTATGTCCAGAGGCCGCGGTCGCGGTGGATTCCGTGGAGGTCGCGGCGGCTTCGGCGGCCGTGGTGGTGGATTCCCTCCCCGCGGTGGTGGCTATCGGGGAGGTTACCGTGGCCGAGGAAGAGGCGGATACTCCCCGTATTAGGATGCCGGGGTGTACCCCTCGAAGCCTCGACCTGCGGCCCCGGCCTCGGCCCCGTGAGGGCTGGGCCGCCGACAGGACTGCAATTCGATTGTACCATACAGGATCCGGTAGGGCAAGGGAAGCTCAACAAGGCGTTCAGGGATAGGTCAGACCTCTGCAAACACACAGAGTCGATAGGTTTTCAGTTCAGTGAATCCAAGTTCCAGTTACAAACGTTGTATGATCTACGACTGCGTCATCCAGATGGTCTTGCATCTGGCGTTAATGGCTCGAGATCGATCCAGATGTGAACCGTCAACCCCGGAGTCGGTCGGTTACGCTCGTTCATTGTAAGCAGATCTCGACGCCAAACGCGGATCGAACGGACTGTAACCCTATACAAGGGGGACAGCGTTCGAGTATGTGCAGTAAACACCATGAACAGGGGTCAAGAAGCGTGATGGAACACCAAACGATTAATCGCGTAGTATCCGCAGGGTCGGAACGCCACGAGACAGGACGGACGAGCCTAGCGGTGCCGCCTTTCCGCGCGTGGCCCACGACGTCGCCCGATCCGGGCGGGGCGCAGGCTTGCCGGACGAGAGTCGCTGACATGTCGCGGGAGTCCCCATCTGCCAGCTGACACACACGGCCCGGGGGATGTATTTGCGGCCTGTTCTCTACACTACCTCAGGGGGCCTCAATTCTCAGGGCTACTGAATTTTGTACGGCCTGGAACTGACTACCTGGGGCGAGAACATCGTCTTTGAAATGCTCAGCGGTAGGCTAACTAGCACCTGGCCGGGGCAAGAAAGATGGTGCACTTTTCATACCAAGGATTGGACGCAGCGTCAAGTATGTCTGCGGCACGTGCTGCTAGTTGTATGTGAAGCGGTTCTCATTGGGTGAAGTTGAGGGCAGGAACTGGTTCGCTTTCCCGTACGTCTTGCTTGGTCTAGGAAGGAGAGGGACTTTTGCGATAGGACGGATTTTTGTCACCAAGGTTATGTTATTTATGGCACACACGATGGATGGCCCCGATGATGGATGGATGGAGCCTGGGGAGGGGGCCGGAGGGGAGGGGGGACGGGCTGGACGTGCCGGGCGACTATCATGCTAAGGGCGATTTGCGGGTTGGATGTGCTCGAATGCCTTGGGCGTCCCTTTTTGTTCCTGAGGACCACGAGCTCTCTTGCTTTCTTCTGGTTCAAGGGCTCATGCTGGGACGGACGGGAGAATTATGGGGGGTTTTGCTTGCTGATGGAAGGACGCACACCGGCGGCGCATGAGGTTCGGGAGTATGGAGGGAGGGCGTTGATGGGACGAGGAACAATGCGCTGTTTCTGGTTTGGGTTCACTGTCGGTACATGCCTTGATCTCTTTGGCCAAGAAAGCAGGGCCGGCCAGGGCAGTAGCCAGCGGTCTTGCTTTCTAATGTTGACAGCCGTATGAGAAATGCCTTTTTTGCCTAGGATGATTGATGATTTGTTGATTAGTACTGATTAGAAAAGAGCCCATGTGACATTGCCATACTGATGGAAAATTCTGGCCCTCAAGATTGAATTCGCCACGAAAGATTATGTAAAGAGAGAGACCGGTGCTTGCTTCGCTCGCTCAGAGGTTCTAGATCTTGGTGGACGGCCCGAACTGAGGGGCCTACCAAGACCTCTTGGGCTGGGAGCACGGCAAGGGCAATCGTCAGGGTACCGCACCGTTCAAACCGGATGGTACCGTGTGCAAACATGAAGTACCCTGTGTTTGCTTGGCGGGGGGTAGCGAAAGTCAAGGTAAGGTCATGTCAGGCAAGGGGACGATGGGGGGATTTGGCAGCTCTCTTGCATCTAAGACGAGCATCCGAAACACGATTGGGAACAGCGTTTAAGCAGGCGGCCTGTCGCCCTTCGTCTGCTTCGAACCTGAGGTGTGCTTTTCGTTCGGCATAGCCTGCGGTGATGAGCTGAGAGCTAGGTGCACTACGGACGGTTTCTGCCCTGGTCGCGACGGGATGTCGCTTTTAGTGACTGCGGTTAAGGTGAGGTACTTGCTTTCCTCGCATCGGTTGTCACCGGTTGCGTGGCCCAGCAACAGCGCGCGGGATGGATGTTGCAAGGAGGGGCTGTCGACCTGTTTCTGAAGCACTACGTCAGGTACAGGGCGCCGCTACCACGGGAAGAGGGAGGGAGCCAGGAAGACGGACGACGACGACAACAACGACAGCGGACAGGGGCTTACGGAAGGTGGATTTGAGTGCGAGCCTGGGCCGATGTCGATGTCGATGTCGATGTCCGTGTCGATGTCCGTGTCGATGTCGAGGGACTGACTTACCGACTGGTTGCAGCGGTGGATAAGAATAGAGGCAGGCCAGTACAATCAGGGAAGACAGCGGTGCAGTCTGCGGAACACTTTGCAGGTAACGTGCTCCCGCCTGGTAAGATTGTCTGCAGTTCAAGAATCCCATCACCAACCAACAGCATGCTTCTCCGAGGCACCTTTTGTAGTATCTCACCTGCCCCGGCACCTTCTTATGGCCAGCCGTGCTTTTGGATGTGCTTGTCATCCATCCACCCAGCAATTTGCAGGCCCTGCCTTCTGGGGCAATCCCCAGGACCTATTCTGAGAACAGCCCCTCCTCTGATACTGATGTCGAGATACCTTTCGAGAAGCAGTGGATGTGTTGAAGCAGAATCGAGAGCAAGTGACCAGCACAGCGAGCAGTTTCTTAGATAGATGTACATGTCTCTCAAACTCTCTCAAGCCAGAGGTACTCCATGGCTACCTTGAAGCCCCGCCGACGCCTAACAACTCGGGCAGAAGACTGGACCGATGGAGTGAATTCGCCATTTGCACTGCCAGCCATGCCATGCTCCCCAAGTTGCCTCCAGTCGCCTGCTCCAAGTCTCCTTCAACTCACCTGTGCTTACCTGCCTGCCTCCCCTGCTGTCTGCAACTGAGTCTACCAAAAACCTGGGGCCTACCACCACCGCAATAGTTGCTGCCAATGTTACCTACCTACCCTACCTGACTCCATACCTGTGAACGTAGGTGTCTTTTGTACGGCGGCTGCAGCTAAGAAAGATACAGGGCCCTCCACTACTTGAATGGGCTCCCTGCTAACGCTGGTGGACGAAAAGGTACCTGAGGTAGGCCCGGGGTACTTCCAGGTTGCCTAAGGTACCCAGCTGCGGGACGGGCCAAGGCTCCTCTTGCCTCTGTGTCCCTCTCTATGCCTGCCTACCTACCTATGGCCGCTGACTGGTGACAGGACGCTCTGCCTACCCACCTCCTACCTCACCTCCCGCATCTCTCCTAACAACCTTCTTTGCCTCACTGCGCACTTCCGACCGGAGACAATAACCCACTCGCACACACATACCGTTTGACAAGCGCTCAGACGGGGGCGACTACCAAAACACCAAACTCGCTCCATCCTGTCAACTTCCCATCGCCAACCTCCCTCTGCAAACGTTCGAATCCGGTCGGCGAATCGTTCTCTCACCGCACGACTTGATCGGCGAGAAAACCCCTCGTTCTCCTCGCTCTGCCTGACCATCGCTGGCCCGATACCAGCCCAAGCATCTTTAGCATACCATACGTTACCTACAAACCAACTTGGCCCTTCGCTCGGGCTTCCCGCCCGCCGCCGCGTCACCTTATCATCCACCGTAGCCCCGAGGAACCCCAAAAACCCAGCCCACTTGGCTATTCGAAGCGGGGGGTTTCTGCACTGCACAGCACAGCACAGCCTCAGCTCTGCCTTTGCCGTCGTCGTCAATCTCAATTCCCGTTCGCATCATCTCGCCGTCGCTGCACACCTTTGCTGCGTGCATCCCGTCCTCGACCGACGCCAGACCTACCCCGTACGATCGCGATCCGGTATCCTCAAACAAGTTCCGCAGATCATTCGTGACCCCTCACCTGTTCCAACACTGGGCGACTCTCGTCTGGACACGACAAATATTCTGGGAGTTGATACCGTTGTCGCTGGACATCCTGCGACGAAATGAGTTCCTCCCGCAATGATGCCGGGCAACCCAAGTAAGTTTGCTCCTGCTTGGCCGGACCCATCTTCATGGACTCTGGTCATTCCGATGTCATCAAAGCCGGGAAGCATAACGATAACTAACTGTCACTGCCCGTAGCCGCAAGCCCAATCTTCGAGTAACGAGTTCGTCATCTCCGCGTCGGCTCCCCGCGCTGCATCGACAATTGCTAACTTCGACACAGTCATCGCCGCAGATGGCCTCTACAAGCGAGATGTCTTCCGTACGTAGTCCTCGTCCCCATCGTACTTCACCATGTTGATTAACACCGTCGACAGGGTTCCCGGATCCCTTCGCTGTCATTACCGTCAACGGAGACCAGACCAAGACTACAACGGCTCAAAAGCGGACGTTGAACCCATACTGGAACGAGAGCTTCGATCTGTGCGTAGTGCTCCGGACATGTCTCGTGCAAAGCATCATCGCTGACAAACCACAGCCACGTGAATGAAGACACCATTCTCGCCGTCCAAGTATTTGACCAGAAGAAGTTCAAGAAGAAGGATCAAGGATTTCTCGGCGTCATTAACGTTAGAATCGGCGATGTTATCGAATTGGCACCCGACGCAGATGGTAACGCTCTTCTCCTCGTCAGCTTGTTTCATCCTGTAGGACGTGACTAACCCGCTTCCCGCCGTAAAGACCAGATGCTCACGCGAGACCTGAAAAAGTCGACCGACAACCTCGTTGTCCACGGAAAACTAATAATTAACCTTTCTACGAACCTCTCTACACCCGCTCGCGCTGGCCAGGCCTCGTCCAGTCGTCCCTCTCTCGTCCCGCCCGCTCAAGGATCAAACATTTCGTCGCTCTCCGCCCCGCCGCCCGACGGCAGACCGGGCTCCGCCATGGGCGCTCCCAACGGGGGGCCGGTTCCTGGCTCTCAAGTCAATCTACCGCACCGCCCGGCTAGCATGACGTCAACCGGCCCTGCGCCTGCTGCAAATGGAGCCGCAGCTCCCGCGAGAACCACCGCCAGTACTCTCAGCCCGTTTGAAGATGCGCAAGGCCGACTGCCGGCGGGATGGGAACGCCGGGAGGATAATCTGGGACGGACATATTACGTTGATCATAACACGAGAACGACTAGCTGGAACAGACCTACTGCCACCGGAGCTGTGGAACAGAGAAACGAGCGTGAAAACGCAACCCAAGTGGAACGCCAGAGACATCAGAACCGAACGCTTCCCGAGGACCGCACCGGTGCAAACTCCCCGACTCTCCAGGCCCAGCAACAAGCGGCCCAGCAGAACGCGAACAATGCCACGATGATGCATACCGGCGCCACGAGCCCGGGTACTGGCGAGCTGCCTCCCGGTTGGGAACAGAGATGGACGCCGGAGGGACGACCTTACTTCGTGGACCACAACACCCGGACTACCACCTGGGTGGACCCTCGTCGCCAGCAATACATCCGTATGTATGGCGGCCAGAACAACACAAATGGCACCATTCAGCAACAGCCCGTATCCCAATTGGGACCTCTGCCTAGCGGTTGGGAAATGCGCCTCACCAACACAGCAAGAGTCTACTTTGTGGACCACAACACAAAGACGACAACTTGGGATGACCCCCGCTTGCCATCATCCCTGGACCAGAACGTGCCTCAGTACAAGCGAGACTTCAGAAGGAAGCTTATCTACTTCCGCTCGCAGCCCGCTATGCGCATTTTGTCCGGCCAGTGCCACATCAAAGTGCGGCGCTCCCACATTTTCGAGGATTCTTTCGCAGAGATCACTCGGCAGTCTGCTACTGATTTGAAGAAGCGTTTAATGATCAAGTTTGACGGAGAAGATGGTCTGGATTACGGTGGTCTGTCCAGAGAGTTCTTCTTCCTCCTTTCCCACGAGATGTTCAACCCCTTCTACTGCCTTTTCGAGTACTCCGCCCACGACAACTATACCCTCCAGATCAACCCCCACTCCGGCATCAACCCGGAGCATCTGAACTACTTCAAGTTCATCGGCCGTGTCGTTGGATTGGCCATTTTCCACCGTCGTTTCCTCGACGCGTTCTTCATCGGTGCCCTGTACAAGATGATTCTTGGCAAGTCGGTCGTCCTCGCCGACATGGAGGGTGTTGATGCCGATTTCCACCGTTCGTTGCAGTGGATGTTGGACAACGACATTTCTGGCGGTATCCTGGAGCAGACGTTCTCTACAGAAGACGAGCGATTCGGTGTCATGACCGTCGAGGATCTCATTCCTAACGGACGTAACATTGACGTCACGAACGAGAACAAGAAGGAATACGTTGATCTTATGGTCAAGTGGAGAATCGAGAAGCGTATCGCGGAGCAGTTCCAAGCCTTCAAGGATGGCTTCCACGAGCTCATCCCTCAGGACCTCATCAATGTCTTTGATGAGCGTGAGCTTGAGTTGCTCATCGGTGGTATTGCGGAGATCGATGTCGATGACTGGAAGAAGCACACTGACTACCGCGGATACACTGAGTCTGACGAGGTCATTCAGTTCTTCTGGCAGACGATTCGCTCCTGGGATGGAGAGCAGAAATCGCGTCTGCTCCAATTTGCTACGGGTACATCACGTATTCCGGTCAACGGTTTCAAGGATCTCCAGGGAAGCGATGGACCGAGAAGGTTCACTATTGAGAAGGCGGGTGAGATAAACAACCTTCCGAAGGCCCACACATGGTAAGCTCTGTTATTTTCGCAGCCGATATTCGTCGCTAACCCATGCATAGTTTCAACCGTCTGGACTTGCCGCCGTACAAGAGCCTCGAGATGCTGCAGCAGAAGCTCACCATTGCCGTTGAGGAGACCATGGGCTTTGGCCAGGAGTAGTTGCAAGCAGAAGCCTGTCCGAAAATTGCGATCCTTATTGTTATCCGGTTCGACGTAGGCTCAAGACTTGCATCATGCCTTATGGTCACGCGTCATGGCAATGGACCGGCCCGGAGCTGTCGTTTATGTGAATTCTGCAGCATCAATTTCATTCGGAAGTTCGGCGTGCGGTTAGGGATATTTGGAATAAACCTTCTCTTTCTCCTTTCTATATGTGGGGGGCCGAGGAAGTGACGATGAGACGACGAAGCCGTTCGAGTCAAGAGATCGAAAGAGAGCGAGCAAGAGTGTGGAAGAATAGGCTGTGTTGTACCAAAAGCTCCTTGGGTGCGGCGAATTTGCATGGGTAACCTAGAAAACTGCGAAGTGCGTCGCAGCAAGGAGATAATACTTGCCTTGGAAAAGCTGCAGCCATACGGAGCCTCCAAGGGCAAGAGGCGGAAACGAGCTTGCCATAGGGCGTCGACGCATTTGATCATTACGGGCATCACAACTCCAATGTGTAACCGCATCAGACATATAGGTAGTTATATATACACATCACATGGACTTGTGGAATTTTGATTGTTCTGCATCGACCCGTCTGGCAGTACTTTTGCCGTGTAGGTGGTCTTCCAATTCTGCCAAGGTCAGTGATGTTTGTTTTTTGATTGCGTGGAACTACCTGGGGGTGCTTCAACCTTATTTACCAGCTCGAAAGCCTCGGTCCCCAGGATGCCATTCCCAGTCGAAGTATTCACCACAACGGCACCATCGGAATAAATTTTGTCACAGCAGTCAGCGGCCACAGGCCATAAACAAAGTAATCGTGGAAGCAGAACTTGTTTAATCTACAATCCATCCGCGGCTTGTCTACCGAATGGATCCTCCGCATATGTACACAGACGCACACGCATACAAAAGAAAGAAAGCCCAGCCTCCCGGATGCTCCCCCAATGGATGCCATTTTGCATATCAGCCTCTCTCCTGTAGGATCATCTCTTCTCTCTTCGATCCGTCTCTAATGGCTAAATGGCCAAAAGGCCACGCCCAAATTCTTCCCACGCACCGGCATTCCACCATGCATACACCACCCATGGAACAGACGGCAAATAATCTACTTGCGGTACCACATGCGGGTGATCTTGGTGTTGCGCATCTTACGCTGGAGCTGGAAGATGCCGTACATGAGGGCCTCGGAGGTCGGGGGGCAGCCGGGGACGTAGACGTCGACGGGGACGATGCGGTCGCAGCCGCGGACGACGGAGTAGCTGTAGTGGTAGTAACCGCCTCCGTTGGCGCAGGAGCCCATGGAGATGACCCAGCGGGGGTCGGGCATCTGGTCGTAGACTTGGCGCAGGGCGGGGGCCATCTTGTTTGTGAGGGTGCCGGCGACGATCATCACGTCGGACTGGCGCGGGGAGGCGCGGAAAATGATGCCGAGACGGTCCTGGTCGTATCGGGGCGTGGAGAGGTGCATCATCTCGACGGCGCAGCAGGCGAGACCGAAGGTCATGGGCCAGAGGGAGGACTGGCGGGCCCAGTTCGTTATTACGTCGAGGGAGGTGCTAGAATGTGTGTGTTAGTTTGGCGCGGACGGAAGAAGGTGTTTGGTGATGTGGCGAGTAGGGAGATTCTTGCGGTCGAGGGGGGAGCGCTTGTGGGTGATAGTGGTGATGAGGGGTGGTTTTGCGTACAGAGCATATTGCAAGACGCCCTTGGTGGGCTCCTGGCTGGGCAGGGGAACCTCCTTGCGCTCCTTCTTGATGAGACCGCTGGCAGAGTGCGGCGTGACGGAGCTGGCATCCTTTCGTGACGAGCTCGAGATGGAGGCGGCGGCGACACGGATGGGCATGAGGGACGCGGTCGGCCTCGCTACGGGTGCCAATTGAGGTCAGCAATGTCCACACACGTTATCGCAATCGCTCTTCGTATTCATTCTGAAGTGCTGCGGGCGGGCCTGATGGCGATTGGGTTGTGGTTGGGGATGTCGGTCTTCGTCGTCTTCGTGGGATTCCCGCGAGGGAGTTTCTTTTCGGGCGCTCGGGTGTCGGGCCGGGGCAAAGGCTTACCTCGCAGGGCCATTGAGGCCGCTGTCCTCGTGGAGGAAAGCATCTTTGAATGTGACGATAGATTTTGGTGAAGGACAGGGGAAGGTGCGGCGGTGATGGAGTGGAGAGGTGTCGTTCGTCGAGGGGAGGGGCGGTGCGGCCGGCGGAGGACGGGGGGGAGTTCGCTATGAATGCGTGTGTCGGCGAGTGGTCGACGTCGTCGATGGTTTTCGCCTCTTCTTTTTCGGGCGGTTCGCTAATATTGCATTACGGAGCTCTTGATTGGCTGGAGGGGGCCGGGTTGGTCCGGGTTTTTGGCTGTGGTGGTTAGGTAAGCTGTGTGGGGTCTCCAACTTGGTTCACTTGGGGTTGTTGATCCGATGGAGTCAATGATGTGGTCAGTTTATTGCATGCATGTTCATTGGAGGTCTATAATTCCGAGTTACTGAAGAAAAAAACGTCTTGAAGACCGAATTGCCACCAGTTTGGTTTTTTTTTTTTTTTTTCCAAGAGCCAGGTATCAAGTGGCTGCAAAAGGTATAGCGTTTCTCAGATTTGGATATCTGAAGACGAAGTGGACGTGTCATCGGTGGACGCAATGACACATCTACGTTGTCGGGCTCTCAAACGGCATCCAGGCAGCAAAAACGGCCCTTGGCTCACACGGATGTTCTCACATAGCCAAATTTGATTCAATAGTCGATTAACACATTATTAATTAAAAATGGGGAATGCGATTACTGTCAGTTTGTAGGGGGACTTTTAGTAGCGTGGCGACCTTGCAATCAACCTGAGTTAGCTCAATGTTCCACTATGTGGTGTGAGTTGATAACCTTTCCGCTTATTGCTTCTTGACTATTCTCTTCTTCTAGTTTTGAATTTGAGAGCGTATATACGCAATAAATAAAGTCTTTAGCATGAAAGAAAGGTAATGTTGCTGTAACTACAGAGATGGCATGATTAGTTCATGATGTTTCGTTGAGACGGCCTATTTCCCCTATGCCAGAGCGACTAATTTTCATGTAGATTCATATCTAAGTCTGCTTTACTGTTTTCATTGTCCTTACTACTATTGTCATTACTACCGTCGTCGTCGTTTGTCATCGCCTTCGTGTAACGTCGTCGTCGGCGTTATTGTTATTATCGTCCTCCTCGTTATCGTTATCGTCGCTTTCGTTGTCCGTGATATAAGTGCTTCAGTACGCAGGAATAGCCACCCAGACACGGGGGGGAAATAAGCGTTCTTTCTCATTACGCCCTTGACTGAGAATAGATGGAAATCAATATGTTGCTACACTATTAATATCATGGTTGATTCCTCTACCTATTGGCCCAACACTGCATTTTCTCCATTGTATCGAGGCTCATTCGACCGTTGAGGAATGCGAGACGAGAGTTATGGGGCCGTGCAGAGGTCAGACCTAGTTGTTCAAATTCCTGCTCCAATACCACCAGATTTCTCCAGTAACCACAAAGCAGAAATGCATATTCGACAAACACAATCATTCAAACGGTCTCGTCGTTGAGGTCTGCCATGCCTTCCACCAGCATTGTCTGCGAGTCTAAGACAGCAGCTGCGGTTCAAATTTACTCACTTAAAGTGGCTCGGCGCAATCTCCCCCACCACGCAATCATGTCCCCACGTCAAGCGAACCAGGGTCTGCCACCGCGGCGCATCTACTGGTAAAGGGGTTCCTGAGCCGCGTAGCCTTTTACGAAAGCTACCCGCAGCATATGGCCTTCGTCATTCGTGGACGACGGAGGGTCTTTGCTTTCGTGGACCGACCTTCGCTTCTCCTCTGTCGGTGTCGAACATGGGAAGCCGGCCGCACTTCGAAGCCCCCACGGTGACCTGAACCTGATCTTCCCCATCCAAAGAGCGGAAGAAGTCTCGTACTCAGTCGCCATGGTGTGGCAGACAATCAACAGGCCGCCGCCCAGCAGGTCGCCCATGTTCCTGCTCAAGGGTGTGCTGGTTGTCTTCATCCTGTCGCTCATCCTGACGAGTTCCTACATCTACCGCGACACAATCACTCAGAAGGCCTCCACGATCAAGTTCACCGACGGCGAGGCGACCGACTATTTCAAGTACCCGTTCAACTCGAGCGACGCCAACGCGAACCCGATCGACTGGCTGATCCACGATGCGCGAGCGAGGCAAGATGCGGTCCTCCAGAAACGGAGCCGCACGCTGCATAATGCCGCGCAACGCTACCGAGAGCGGCGCGGACGGCACCCGCCTCCGGGCTTCCCAGAGTGGTTCCGCCATGCCGAGGAGACCCAAGCGATTGTTATTGAGGAGTTCTTTGACCGCATCTACGACGATCTGAAGCCCTTTTGGGCCGTCGAAGCCAAGACGATTGCAAGCCAGGCGAACGCGGCGGAACATGTGATTCGGGTTCGGAATAAGAAGGTAGCGAGCGAAGGAGGCACCAAGGACGAAGGGGACACCAAGCACGAAGGAGATATCGAGGGGAGGGGGCCTTGGCTGGAACTGTGGAAAGCGCTCGTGACCGAGTTTGAGGAGTATCTTCCAGACGTGGATATGCCCATCAACTACGTGCACGAGCCCCGCGTGTTGGTCCCGTGGAAGCTGAAGGAGAAGTACTTGGCGAAGGAGGAAAAGGGACGCAAGATGCCTATGAAGAACAAGGCTACGAGCGGCTACAAGGGTCTTGCGGACGTGGGCAAGTCGTACTCGAAGGAGTGGACGAGCGACGATCGTCGCAAGTACTGGGATCTGGTGCGTGAAGCATGCCCCGAGGGCTCCCCTTCCAGGAATGTACCCGCGGCAACAGATCTTTCACTGCCGCCAACGCTGCCATATTCGTGGGAGGCACCGTTTGCTCGACAAGGCTACGTCCAGAATTTCACCGGTTCCCAAGATCCTTGTGTCCAACCCCATCTACGTTCGCTCCATGGGACTTTCGTGGAGCCGCTGAATGTCAACACCACAAAGGACCTCATTCCCCTCTTCGGCGGCTCCAAGCTCCGCGTCAACTCGGACATTCTCATCCCGGGTGCCATGTACCTGTCCGACGACGAGGCTTACACGGGGGGCAGCTCACATGGCCCGGCATGGCCAGACAAGCTCGACCGCCTCACATGGCGCGGCATAGGGTCCGGCGGTCTGACACAGTCAGACAACTGGATGCACTTCCACCGTCAGCGCCTCGTCGAGATGCTCAACGGAACGACCGTCCGTGGCATGGAGGCCAACGACGTCCGCGCCATGACATTCGACATGCCTCCTCTGGAGCGTTACAACACCACGCGTCGCCGCGAGAAACGTCTAGGCGACTTCCTGTCCGGATTTGCTGACGTGGGCTTCACCCATTTGTCGTGCGGGCCCAGCAATGACCGGCGGAAGGAGTGCGACTGGCTCACACCGCACCTGTCCGTCGTCAATGCGACGCCTATGGCAGAGCAGTTCTCCAGCAAGTTCCTCCCCGATGCGGACGGGTACAGCTTCAGCGGCCGCTTCCGCGCGTTTCTGCTGTCGACGAGCGTGCCGCTCAAGGCGACGGTGTACGCCGAGTGGCACGACGACCGCCTTGTGCCGTGGCTTCACTTCGTCCCGCTAGACAACACGTTCCAAGACCTCTACGGCGTTCTGGACTTCTTCACAGACGGAGATGACGCTGCGCCCTCGCAGTGGGATGTGCACAAGGTTCTGGGAAAGAAGAGCAAGGGCGATGACGCTGCGAGATGGATCGCCGAGCAGGGTAGGGATTGGGCGGGAAAGGTACTCAGGCGCGAAGACATGAGGCTGTACGTGTGGCGGCTGCTGCTTGAGTTTGCCAGGCTGTGCGACGAAGAGAGGGATACGCTGGCCTACGTGGACGATCTGCCTTGACGTCAAAAAGGAAGGAAAAAGAGAGTTTACATAGACTGCCGTGTGTGCGGCATGCGCATATATGACATATCTGGGGCAGGGAGTCAAAAAGGAGAACCGGCGTTCGGGCATTTTCAAAAGAGTGGACGCATGGCGAAGGCATATTCCCCCCCGCCATGGAAGAGATACATGACCGCCCTTTTACATACACAACAAACAATTAATGATCGTTTTTCAAGGTGGTAATCGCTTACTCGCAAGGGCAGCGCCCCTCGTGAAGCTTATTTTCGCGCGCTTGGCAGCCCCCAAATGCTTGTTGGCGCGGAGGTGGAGGCGGAGGCGGACTGCCCCAAAGGTTTTCGCCGCTTACCTTGGCAAGGAAGGTGGCTCGTCCCGTTCGGAGGCACAACACCCAGTGAGCTGGTTTGCCTTTAGCCGGGAAGTTTGTTCGCGATCACGAATTGAGGACGCGGAGGTGAGATTTTGCAGTTTGTCCGTGCAAAGTGCCGCGTGAGTCGGCCAAGTCTTGAAGATGCGCCCGCCGCGGGTGGCATGGCGCCGAGGCTTAAATAACGTGGCCGGCCCCATCCAAGGGTCGGCCGTGATATGATTATGGGCGGAGGCGCCGGGAGCCTACCGGGAAGTCTGGTTGGATGTAAGTTTCCGTGCGATCGGCACCCCGTCGCCCTGTCGTACTCTTCTGTAAGACTTGTGCGTTGGCACATGAGAGACAATGCACCCTCAAGGATTTTCATATAAGCTGCAACGCGACCGGACCGTTCCTTAAAAAAGGTGTCAGTGGCCGTTGTCACATCAACTGAACGTCGAGGCGACTAAACGACAACCGCCGAGTCCCGGTGTAAGTCGTGATCAAGATGCATGTTTGCGCGATCCCGCAACAGCCGATATCCCACCCGGGGCCCCGATCACCGACGTGGCCGGCGTCTTGGCGGCGATGGAGTCCGAAGA